GCCCCTTAGGGGTTTTGCTGCCCCTAAGAGCTTTCAGCAATGCAGGGGGAGGAAGAACTGAGTCTAGCTGCTAAAGGAGTCCAGAAGCGGGAACTCTCTCGGGTATTTGCCTTATTTGGCAGACGAACAACAATGGCGGTCCCAAGTGACATTATCAACAAGGTGACTCTCAATGGCTCTCTTCTTGATAATGGGTTGAAAATAGGGGTCCCTAATCCAAAATGTCTAATGACAGTCAAACCACAGCCCTTGCCCCAGCTCTCCCATTCCACAATTTGTACATGTGACTATAGCTTTTCCTTGCTGAGTAGTTAGGAGGAAGCAGCTGGCCATCTTTCTGGCTCCAGTGATCACTTTCTCTTGGTGATGATCCACTTTCCTCGCTCAAAATTCGCTCTTTGCTATGAGCTCTGGCTCTGGCCAGTTTAGAGAGTTTTGTGGAAAGTCCCTACAAGTGGTTAGGTGGTGGGAGCTGACAGTCACTTAGTGGTCCCAGAATATCCTGTGATGGCTCCCTGTGGTAGACACATCCTAAGGTGACCTTCAGTGAGCCACATCTTTGTATAATTCCCTCCCTTTGAGTATGGGCAGAACCTGTGACTGATCTACAGCCAACAGAATATGGCAAAAGTGATCGAATGTTACTCCCATGATTATATTACTCTTTAATAATCCATTTGAGCAGACTGGAGCAAAGACTCCCCTGCTGGCTCTGAAGAAGCAAGCAGCCATGTTGAGAGAGAGCCTATGAGAAACCTCCTGGCAGGAACTGAGGCAGCTTGTAGAGCTGAGAGCAGCCTCCAGCTGATGGCCAGCAACAAAATTGCATCCTCAGTCCTACAGCCGCAAGGAACAGAACTCTGCCAACTAACACCCGGGCCTTAAAATGAACCTAAACTCCAGATTTTACTTCAACCTCTTAAGACTCTGAGCAAAAGATCTATCGAAGCTGTGCTTGCATCAGTGGCCCATTGAAACTGTGAGATGATGTCCATTGTTTTAGGTGCTTAACTTTGCGGTAATTTGTCACACAGCAATAGAGAACTCATACATCCCCCAGGCAATAAGAACATCTCCCAGGAGGAGAAAAGAGGGGCTCTACCCTAGCTTAGCCCCTGTGGCTTCTATGTGCAGCTCTTCAGGCCCCTGCATTCTTCAAGCTCCCAATCTGCTTCCAGCAGGTAGCACTGCTGGTGGAGTTTACTTCTCATTTTTCTCACAAAGACAAATGAGTCAATTAAAATAAAAAGAAATGTGAAGGAAGAGCTTA